GCTTGCCCCTTTAAGGCCTAGATTTTGTCAACAAATTTTACCTTAATGTCAGTACCACTCAAATCATCTTTAGACATTACAAATTCCTCAAGATCCACATCATCTGATAATGTCATTCTCCTCGTATGAATTTAAAAATACGACGTTTCGTTTTTACGTCTGGAAGCGGAAAGTCTATCTTTCGGTCAATACGTCCCGGGCGAATCAGAGCAGGATCTAATGATTAAATACGATTTGTTGCCATGATGACCTCTATAAATATAAAAAATCGAATTAATAATTTATTTAATATTAATATAAGCAGGAAATTCCTAATTCAAAAGTTCTAACATAGTTCTTTGAATTTCCCTTTCACCACCTGAATTGGAATCAAACCGTCTAACTGATTCAAAAGTTCTAACATAGTTCTTTGAATTTCCCTTTCACCACCTGAATTGGAATCAAACCGTCTAATTGATTCAAAAGTTCTAACATAGTTCTTTGAATTTCCCTTTCACTACCTGAATTGGAATCATTTCTATAATTAAATGGCGTCAATTTTTTAAATAATAATAATAATAATTAATTAATAAAATGATAATAAAATAATGACAATTAAAATTATAAATTCAATCAGAATAAGATTCATGCCTATATACCGTTTAGTTCTAATAGCATCAATTTCATCAATAAATACAATGGAAGGCGCATGTTCTTCGGCAACACGGAATAATTTGCGTACAAGTTTTGGATCAATTCTGAACCAATAACGCACAGAAAAGTTGCAGATGCTTGATTCGCCACGCCTTTAGCCAAAAGAGTTTTACCCGCAAATACAGAAATATTTACTATTGATCTGTAGATACCTTGTTGATAGAAATGTTGAATTTATCTGTTCCGGGACCCTTATAGGATAACACCTTTCATAAAGTTCTGGATGTGTTAAGAGTAATTCTACGGATTCTTTGATTCCTTAAATTTGTAATTACATAGCCTATTGGGTGTATATGTTAAATAAGTAGACCAATAAAACAACGAATAAAATACACGTTTTTGTATATACCTTATGATGTACCTAAATTAAATGATAAGATGCTGACATAATATTCTTGTCCCGTAGAAGAAACTATTGCATGATCATTGTCAATGTTTTCTTCCAGAGATCACACACCCATTGGGGAACCACTTAAATATTCCACCCGAGTTTTTTCTTCCTAAGAATAGTCAACATTATCATTGTCTAAAATATTTTATATAAAAAATTATGAAAATTTATAATTGTACACGGGTACATAAATCCCGTGTACAAATAGAAATTGTCAAAAAGTATAATGAAATAAAACAGATACTTGTGCTTTTTCTTCTTGTGGCTTTAATCTTTCTTGATTTTGAACAAACTCTTCTTCCATCAATAAATAAACTTTTATACGTTCCGTTTTTAAAAGTTCAGTCGACACCGGGATTCACGGCTTATATACCGGCAGGTAATTTAGACGTTGCGTCAGGGCCTCTTTTTTTTTTTTACCAACATGAGTTGGAAGTGGTGGTTCCCATTTCTTTTTCTTATCTTTATGATTTAGTGCCAAAA